AATAAAAATACATGAAGTCTTCAAAAGGCAGCTCGTCTTCCGGCGGATTAACCCTCCTTACTCTAGCGTCGTTTATTTGGTCATCATTGTTTCCAGCGTAAGGAGCCAATCGGTTAAAATGGATCACTTTCGGCTTTCCTCTTGGTTGTTTTCTGATCCTGTAGATGATGTCATTTATGCGATCCATGACTTCGTATGGTCCTTCCCAACAATTCTGCAGCTTCGGTGAATAACCACGACGGCGCTGAGGGTTGTATAACCAAACTAGGTCTCCAGGTTGAAATCCTCCATTTTCCGCCTTGATGTCATATGCCTCTTTCATTCTATCACTGGCACTCTGGATGTTTAAACGAACTCGGCTATGAATGTCGCTCATTTTCCTACGTAAATTGCTGACATAATCTTCTCCAGCAATATCTTCCCCTGGTAGGCAACCAAACCTCAGGTCACAAGGTAGACGAAGTTCACGTCCCATAACAATACTAGCGGGTGTCTGGCCGGTTGTATCGTGGATAGAAGAACGGTACGCCAATAGGAACAGATGGAGGAAGCGGTCCCAGTCTCTTTGGTGATCAGAGACTACCTTCGAAAGGTACCGGTTTATCGTTCGATTCATTCGTTCTACCATTCCATCAGACTGCGGATGTAATGCAGTCGTTCTCGTCTTCCGAATGTTAAGAATCTTACAGACATTCTGGAACAATATAGATTCAAAGTTCCTGCCTTGGTCTGAATGCATCTCCATTGGCACACCAAAACGACAAATCCACTCCTTGATAAGGGCATCGGCCACTGTGGCAGCTTCCTGGTTTGGCAAGGCGTACGCTTCCGCCCACTTGCTAAAGTAGTCCATTACAACGATGATGTATTTATTTCCAGATTCTGTTTCTGGAAATGGACCCGCCACATCGATTGCAATTCTCTCAAATGGGCTGCCCACATTGTACTGTCGCATTGGGGCTTTTGGGCGCTTTTGGGGTCCATTGCTTGCCGCGCAAACGGCGCACTTCTTGCACCATTCCTTCACATCTCGTTGGCTGTTGACCCAATAGAACCGTTCCCTAAGTCTTCCGAGCGTCCTGGTCACCCCAAGATGTCCTCCAGTAGTTCCATCATGGATTTCCTGCAGCACTTCTGGTATCCTGTTTCTGGGGATTATTATCTGCTTCCGGTCTTCCCCCCCTTCTGGCATTTCCAGAACGCGCTTTAGAAGCCCGTCACTTAAGATGATGGAATTCCATTGGGCCCAGTACGATTTCACATTCGGCGAATATTGGGCGACTTCTTGCCACGTTGGTTTACGGTCGTTCTTCTTCCAATCGATGATAAGCTTCAAATCCAGGTCCCTTTCCTGGTCTTGTTGAACCTCAGCGGATTGCCAATGATCATCCACGATTGTAGTCCTGCGAATATACACATCCTTTTCTTCGATCCTATTTATTTTTCTAAATGAAGTCGGCGCCACCTGACTTCCTCTGCAACGACTTTGTTTATGTCCCAGCTTTCCACATCTCCAACACCGGATTTCCTTCTTCTCTGGTAAATTCTCCTTAAGAACTCGCCTAATTGCTTCAATTATCCTGGGTTCTTCCTTCTTTTCCTCTTCGACTCTTCTAATTCTAGGCTGGCTCCTGCAGCTCTCCTTTGCCGCCTCGAATTCCAAAGCTCGAGCCAATGCATCAACCAGTTGACTCGGACGAGCCAACGTCAGAGCCTGTCTTGTTTCGTTGTCTTGAAGTCCATCCAAAAAGGCTTGAACCGCTAATCGTTCCATAACGGTCGTTGGAGTAGCTGGATATGCTAGCCGGACCAAGCGTGCAATATCAGCCTCAAATTCTTGTAAAGTCTCGTTCGATTTCTGGCAGCGATTCTTCAATTGGGAATGGTACACATGTTCCAGATGTGTCTGGCCATATCGAAGTTCCAGATGTTTTACTAACGCTTCGTAATCTTCTTGTTCGTTTGGAGAAAGCGTCTGCAAGATGTCCGTTGCATCTCCGCGTAAAGCCAGAGTCAACGCTGTAGCTTTTTCTTCTGGTAGCCAGCCATTTGCTTTTGCTGCTGCCTCAAACTGACGGATGTAGTTGGTCCAAGAAGTTTTTCCATCGAACTGAGGTGGTTTCATCCGGAGTCGGCTCCCCTCCTGCACTGTTCCTGGTTCCGCCAGCATCATGGGTAGATTTACAGCTTTTAATTTACTATTTATTTCTCTAATTTTGACTTCCAATTTATCATCCAATTCCATCCTTACTTCATTCAATTCCATCCTTACGTTATTTAATTCCATCCTTACATCGTCAACTTTCTGTCCTATTTTCTCTTCTAATTCATTGACATTATCTAGAATCTTCCCTTCCAAATATTCTTTTAGGTTTTTAGAATTTTCTAGAATTTTCTGCTGCAGTTCGCTAGAATTTTCCAGCATTTTCTGTTGTAAATTGCTAGAATTTTCCAGCATTTTCTGTTGCAAATCGTCCTTTAAATCGTTGACATTTTCTAACATTTTCTGTTGTAAGTCGCTAGAATTTTCTACCATTTTCTGTTTTAAATCGTTAGAATTCTCCAACATTTTTTCGTTTAAATTTTGCAACATTAACTGCATATCACACGGGCCTTCAAATAAATACGTATCTGGATTTTCACCTTCCTGCTCCAACGCTTCTCGAAGCCGCTGCTGCAACACATTCTTTTTTCCAGTTGTTTCACATTCCCTTTCTTCCAGCTCCCGCTTAAGGTCCGCCACTTTTAAGTCCATTAACGAAACCATTTTCGCGAAGTTTCACACTAACCGCACTCCTGACACCAATTGTAACGTTTTTAACTGTTCGTAGTGTGAATAAAAACACGCACTGGTTAATTAACGAACTAAACTATTTATTTAATAACTTAACTACACTTAAAACACTATAAAACTATAAAACTAACTAAACACTTAACTACTAATTATTTATATATCACTACTCTTCAAGAGTCTATTTATTTGCACTTATATTTATTTATTTCTTCGCGAGTACCAAATCTCAACTGACTCCGTGTACTGCTCCGTTTCTTATATATTCAGCGCCAAGGTCTTCTGGAACATTCCAGCGAGCTCCACACTCTCGATTGTTCGAGCGCTGAGTCACCGGCGATGACTCATCGGCGATGACTAACCGGCGATGAGTCATCACTCCGATATCCAGAGCGGTACTCGCTACAATATATTAAATTTTAAAGACATTTTATGAAAACTCTTCAATTACTAACTTAACTGCATGTAAAAAATAAATCGGAAATGATAAAAATTTATTAAAAACAATTAGTTTTTAAAAGAAAAACAATTTTAATAGAACATTTAAAATAAACTTGTAATTAATGTGTACATCAGTAATTCATAGATTATTTTTTATAGATTAGGTATTTCCATTTTTAATTAAAAAACAAATAAAAATAGCCAGTCCTATATATCAAATTAAATCATTTTAAGATGTAACTTACATTGGTTGTTTACAAAAATTAAAAATGTATGTATTTAAATAAAAATTTATTAACATTTATATTGATTTCAAATATTTCAAAATTATTATTTTTATCTACTCCCATATTGAAAGCTGTAACTTTATGGCGGTTTAGTCACGAGTTGAAGTTGGCAATAGTTGCTTTTAGGTTAAAGTTAGCTTTATAATAAATTGTGAAAAAGTGAGGTTAAATTCGTCAAATGTCAAATATTTAACAATTAAAATTGGCCAAAAATTTGTGTTTATCCTAGATAAAGTGAGGAGATCCATTCCAAAACTCGGCTTATCTTCTTTTGGTGTCTGTACATTTAACATGTAGCCCCATTTACCCTGAAAAGGTCACCTTATTCCATTTAAAATTCATTTACAAATTGACTATCGTTCCAAAACCTGCCTTATCTAAAGGTTATATCATGTCAGAACTGCCATGGCTTATATGTAAACGTAATTTTAAATTATTTCAAATTGAAGCTATACCTTTTTAATCTAGGTATACAAATTTTATACTTATGCCCATTTATTTCGTTTAAAATATTATGTAGGCCTGATATGCGTTGGTACTGGATATGGATAAGCCGAGTTTTGGAATGCACCTTCTCAAGTATAGTATGCAATTCGTTTTATAAACTACTCTAGACACTCGTTTTTATCACACTCGCTCGCAAGCTTTGTTGGTGCCTAATAAAACTCGTAAATAAAATTGCATTTATAAAACTTATTTATTAAAAGTTTTCAAAATTCAAGTTGTTCCTTACCAGGTTTTCGAAAAATGCAGTTTTTTTAATATTAAAGGTTATCCATCTGCTTTTTGAAAAGTGTACACACTATAAATTAAAAAAAACTGTTTGCCTGGTTTTATTATAAAACTTTTTAACATTTTAGTTTAATTTTCTCTTATTTTCCTGATATTGACAATTATCAGTGGTGTCATGGGGCCTCGCCCCCCTTGTTTTAGTTATTGGTTACTTTGGTTTTATTTTATGAGTTTTCATTTAATTTTACAAAAAAGGTTGATTAAAACCAACCGTTTTAAAATTTTTTGGTTATGCGTTGAGTGCCATCTTCAAATTTTTGAACGGAATTCGGAGCTAAAGCCTTTGGGCTCATATCAGATCATAAATAAAAATACAATTTCGTAGAATTTTTCGGAAAATCGCTTTCTCGTGAATAACAGAGTTATTATTGATAAGACGCCTCTTCTATCGGTATATTACTGTTGATATTATTACAGGTCAACATAATGTAACCAACAGTTGCTACTTCCTATTGTTAAATCTATAGAATGTGATTTTCCTTAGTATGGAATTTAGATACCCTGTGTTTTATTGGATAAATTACTGAACGATTCTGTTTTATGAAATTAACGAGTTTGAGAAAGGTCTTCCCGCTAAGACTACGTTACCAGGGTGATTGCTATGCAAATAAGAATCGTGATTGGTTCAATAAACTTGAAGTAAATTATCATTAAACATATACAATTATACCTTAATTTATTTGTTTTAGGTCAAGAGGGCTAGAACCGACAACTCAGATGGAACAGATAGAGACAGGTCAGTGTCAAATTACGCAGAACAATTTTAATTAGCGATTTTTTTTTCGTCGTCAGTAAGAGAGATAAGCAACTCAAGACGAGGTATATGGCATATTTATGTTTTTCAAAGTTTTGCCTAGTAAGCAGTAGTGGCTGAAACTAAACACCGCATTGCTGCTAAGAGAAACAAATATTTGAGCTTCCTTTTTTTTACCACTTTTTGAGCATTAAACTGTAAAAAAATTGAGAATTTGATTTAAATTTTTTTTGAAAAAATGTTGGGTTAAATGTATTCTTAGTAAGGGGTTTCTTATCAAATCATAAAATTAATCATTTATTTATACTTGAAATAAGTTTATCTCAATTCAGAGAAGTCTGTTCTTATCTGAAAGGTGAATAAAACATATTTAAGCATTATTTAATAAGTGTAATTTAATATTTTATGAGGGAATGAAAAATTGTTCATAAATAATTCTTTAAAATTATTAAAACTTCCTTTACAACATTATATACATTTCCTATACAAAATATTACAAAATCAATGGAACATACAATAGGAAACTTCCTTATTGCATTATTATTGTAATAAAATGTACATAAAATTTAATTTATTTAAAATCCATTAAACAATTGTTATAATGCACTCAAGTGCTTTATAAACTCTTTTAAAATGTTTCAATGAACAAATTTCGCGTAGAGGGTAAATTCTATGGCGCTCCAGGAGTCTTTTTTGACTTTATCTTTGAGAAAACTTAAAATGATTTAGACTAAAATGACCAATATAAGTCCTATTTAACCAATTGCCGAAAAAGCAGTTACTAATAACACAGTGCAACAGTGCAAAAGGGAATGGGATGAAACCAAAAGCAAATGAAATGTAATAGCTTCTACAACAAAACCCTATTAGGTTTTCTTTTGGAAGCGTTAATTTGTACTTTTCGCTTGGTTGTAGAAAAAATAAGTTTTATAGATATACAGATCTGTCTAAAAATAATGTTTATAATATTTTAAAGTTGAATATCTTTTTTGTGTTGCTGTTTTGGAGCCTCCATACATTAAAGTCTAACAATAATTTGTTGGTGGTCGCAGGAATTAAAAACGATTAGTTAGTCAAACTTTAACTAAACTGCGCACCACTCAATGTGTTCGTTCTTTTTCAAAACGACATAACTTTTTTTCTGCTAGCCTCATTCTCTGGCAATTCATGCTATAGATATGAAGCTCACGGTTCTTCAAGTAAATTTCCTACAGGTTGATATGTTAAACGGTGAAAAATTTCAATAACTTCATCCAAGCCCCGTTTGTCAAAATATTTTTTTTGACTTTGAAATAATGAAGTATTATGTCTTACCTTAAACATGTTTCAAATTTCTCGAATTGGAATCTTAGCAACGAAAATATGTTTTTTTTCAAAAGAGTACATTTAAACCTTTTTTGTAGGCAATACACTCTTTTTAGGAACAAGAAGATAAGATGGTAAAAGATTGTTCCTTAAATAATTCTGAAAAAGCGACAAGCAACAAACTTTCATTATTTTCAGAGGGCCTAAGCAAAGACCACTTTTTCAAAATGACATTTTGGTGAAAATTTGCGAAAACTAAACCTGAACCGATATTTACGTTCGTGACATGTTTTCTTGTTTGAAACATGTTTTAAGGTAAGACATAATACTTCATTATTTCAAAGTCAAAAAATATATTTTGACAAACGGGGCTTGGATGAAGTTATTAAAATTTTTCACCGTTTAACATATCACCCTGTAGAAAATTTACTTGAAGGACCGTGAGCTTCATATCTATAGCATGAATTGCCAGAGGATGGGGCTAGCAGACATCAAAGAGCAAAATAAAATCGTTCAAGAAACAAAAAAGTTATGTCGATTTGAAAAAGGACGAACTTTTTGGCGCAGTTTATTTAAGTAGTAAAAAATCACTATTTAAAAGTGAAAACTACCATTTTATAAGTAAACAATGCTGGTATATAGGTACTAATTGAAATAGTAGAATTTTGACTATTTCATTTTAAGAGAGCGGGTTTAGGCAAACCAGTCATAATCGTTCAATTAAACGAAAATATTTAGAAATTGCGCAAAACTTTCGAGTTTTAACAATTTGTAGGCCGAGTTTTTACGATGTGATAGTTCACATTTGGATAATCTTATTTGTATGAACAAATTTGTGTGAATGTTTACTTAAATAATATTTTTTTTTAAATTTAATATACAGTTAAACTTCGATACTTAAACCATATAACTTGCCACAAAAAAACTTCGAGTTACATTACACATAATTCTCACTATTGTCAACCAATTTGATTCGAGTTATTAGTTTGACTGTATTTATATATTATTTTGTTATAATTTGTTTAAAATCGCTCAACACTATGGAGCACCCGATATATAAAAATATATTTTCATAAAAGAAAAAAAACTAAAAAGTCCTAGACCATCATAAAACTCTAAAAACTGACTTATCTCAATCTGCATCCGACCACAAACTTGTGTTTTATCTTCGATCTGGGACAGATTCAGGCCGGCCAACACAGCGACAACAAACCGTAGGTTTGTCATAAAAAAACTTAACAGGGAAACAAACAAAGGTCATGTCATAATGGCGGTTTGGCTTGTAGCTAACTGCGCTATTATTTTGTTTTACATCGAATGAAAGTTATTGCAGGCAATTTTGATCCCACGTAAACGAATCGATTTTATTGGAACGTTTTAAGTAGGACTACTTTAACTGTTACATAAAGTAGGCACGGTTAAATATCGTTGATTTTAAAATCGCTTATTAGACAAGTTTTTGGATAAAAAAATTGTATGATTTGCTCGTTTTGCAGATGTAAAAATTGTTGCAAATGGAAATACGACCTTTTGAAAAATCACTCCTCATATATATATGAGGAGTGATTTTTCAAAAGGTCGTATTTCCATTTGCAACAATTTTTCAAAAAAATGACTATAACCTGTATAGGTTAGGGCAATATAGATTATTAAAAAAAAAATTCCGATGAATATTTAATAATACTAATAAAAATGGAAATAAGGCCTTTTGAAAAATCACTCCTCATATACAGTAAGTTGAATTCAAAATAATTGAGAAAGTTTTAATGCATCCACTATATAGCCCGAGCCTTGATCCATGAGACTACTTTGATTTAGCATCTGCAAAACTCTCTAAATGGTGTTGGTTTTAAAAAAAACTTCAGTTTTTACGCAAAACTTTTTCGAGTACCTACATAATATAATATGGTACGATCCTGGACACCCGCACATTAAGTTGCCTCTTTTAAGGATTAATGTGTTTTGGTCCCCTGTCTCGTATTTTACCATTTCTCTTTTTTTCTGGGTCCTAAATCACACCAGATTTTAGTCACATGACAATAGTAGGTAATTTGACTAATAGCTAATCACGAAATTGTTTGAACAAAATTACAAAGGTACACAAATTTGTCACCAAATATTTCTCTATAAATAAGATACCACGCAGAAAATTTATTAGACATTTTAACACCTAACATTTAAATAAATAAATTATGTTTAAACGTTTAAAAAGCTTGTCACACAATATTGTGTCTTGACATATTAATTAATAAAATAAATTTATAAATTATTATTGTTATTTAAAAGATTGAACTTGTTGATGCGTATTGTCAATGGGAAATGTTTTGATTGACTGCCTGAAATCACGTGTACTTTTTCAACGAAATAATTTGTTAAACATTAACAAAATAATCTGTAACCTTTGAAATTACCAAAATGCTTACAAAACTGCATATTATCCTTACAAAACTTTCGGTAAAATATTTTTCTTTGTTAAAATAATTACAAACCCTGATTTTCTACAAAAAATTATGTTAAAATTTTACGAAATAAACTTAACCAACTACAAACTTATGTTACCAAGTCTGATATAACAGTGTGCAAATTGAAGATTTTTACAGATAAATCATTTTACAATCGCTAAAATGCATCTGTGCAACTGGCAAAACTTAAATGGTTCTTGTAGACTGCAATAAAAAAAACAGATAGTTTTTTTAAATAAATTATAAAGGCCTAGGATAAATTATAAATAGCTAGAACTTTGGTCAAGACGGTTTTATTATTCAACAAGGGTCTGTGAAAAGTTGTTTCCTGTACTTTGTGGCAAAGATGTTTGGCCTCCAACCCCGCCTGATTTAAACCTAATCGACCATTGAGTGTTATTGAGGTTTAAACCTAAACACAAGCACTCACTTTAAAAACGTCGAAGCTATCCCCAATTTACTTGATTTTTCTGTAAACATTTCCAAACAGTTATCTCAGTGGCACTGAGTCAGTGTACATGGAAAACTGAAAATTGAGTTGAATATAAATGTTACTGTTTTAATAAAGTTCTTCAGTAATAGATCAATTTTATCCTCCATGGAGCTAAAATGTGAAACAAAATTCTAGGAACTTTCATCGCACCCTGTATGATATCTTTCGTAGATATTTTTGATGAAGTGGTAGCTGTTTAATCCCCCCTTTGAGACGACCCTATTAAGCCGATTATCGACAAAATAATTGTGTTTGAACAATGTCAACAGCCCATTGGCATTAACAATATCTTGTCAAAAGAGTCTGATGAATGAGGCATTGTGTCTCCTGCCTTTAATAGACTGTCGTCTCGTTTTTTCAAAGATGTTATCCATAGAGTTAACAATGCCATGTGAATTCAAGTAGAAAAATTGTTGGAACACAAATAAAAGACGCGTTGCACTGCATGGTTATTTGTGTTTAATGATGATGTTTTTATGTGATATTTCACACTTGTTTCTAAGCCTTAGATGTGAGCAGATGTTATGTTAAAAGACAGGAAACTAAAAAACCCGCAAATTCTCGTCAATTAAAATATTATTTGATATTATGACGTTAATTTTGCAAAATATTTACGATTATGTTTGTTCACACTAATTAATGACAAAGTAAAATGACTTTAACAAACGTATAAATATTCATAACTGCCGAATAAAATTATATAAATCGCGCTCCAAAGTCGT